CTTTTTGCAAATGACAAATATAAGTGTCTGCAGCGTGAAAGAGTAATACATGAGGCGTAGGTCCTGTCCTTGTCAGAGAGCAGTGATGTTGCTGTTGGGTTCAGTCATGGATTCTTCCAGGTGGGTCACTCAGTGGGGTTACTGAGGCCTCAGAGCCCTGTGGCAGTCTGGGCTTGTGCTGCTGCTTCTCTGTCGCGTCTTGCACTGCCTTGTGTCTGTCTGGCTTTTAGCGTTCTAGTTCCAAGCTGAAGTGGAAGCTGTGTGTGTGACAGCTGGTGGTGCAGCACTTCTTCCAGCTCGTGACCAGTGTGTTGTTTCTGGCAGCTGGAATTAGAAGTAGCTGTACCTGGAAATCTCAATCTAGACACTCAAGCGTTATTAAAACAATGAAGATCTCTGGTTTCTTTTGTCTGAGAAACTACAAAAGCTGCTGCTGCTTAAAATTGTAGCACCAAATATTTTAAATAAGGGGAAAAAAAAGTACTCCTTTTCTGTCATTTCCTTGTATCCTTTGGTGCCTTGTGCTTGTACAGTAGGGCAGTTTTGTACTACCACATAACGGGATTTTTTTCCTCTTGACATGAGCTTTACTCAGCTGGCTCAGTGAGACCCTTTTTCCTCACCAGCATCTCCATGTGCCCTCACTTGAGTCGCAAGTCAGGAGCAGGCTCTGCTGGGAGGGATATTCCCAGCTCAGGCTGCATGATCCCAAGTGAAATCCCTCTTCTCCAGCTTGGGCTGCTCATTTGTCTTTCTGTGAAAGGGGTGAACTCTTCAGTGAACGGGGTGCATGTGGGGTGTTTGACAAGTGCTTGTCCTTGTGATCCCTCTGAAACCATTTGCTAATAGGAAATGGTAACGACAGTCGTACAACAAGCTGTTTGCGTGCAGTCTAGTGTGTGTGCGAGTGTAAATATATACTTTAGTTGTGTGATTTATTTTTGGAGCAATCTTACAGAAATAGATACGTGGCTTAGTTTTGCAAAGGTTTTTTAACTGGGACTCAGCCTTTTCATGAAGACTGCTTTTGGTCAGGGGTGACCAAAACGTTCTTTTGGACATCCCCTGTGGGCACAGAAAGTGGTGGAATGCTCATCCTGCTAATGTGCTGTGTGGTGGTTTCACTCGGCCGCAGCCAAATGCAGCTGCTCACTCGCTCTCCCTGCCACCAGGGAACAGGGGAGGGAATTGGAAAGGTGAAAGTGAAGAAAACTCGTGGGTTGAGACAAAAATGATCTAATAATTGAAATAAAACAATAACAGTAATAATAGAATATGGAATTGAGTGATGCACAGTGCAGTTGCTTACTGCCTGCTGACCACTGCCCAGCCTGTCCCCAGCCAGTGATCCTGGAGCAGAGACAGTCCTGAAACCACAGTCCCAGAAGAGCAAGAGCCCAAGCGATCCCCGAGAGAATCCCCAGCTTCCCATGGTTAATATACTGACCATGATGTGATATGAGATGGAATATCCCATTGGCAGAGCCAAATGCCAATTTGAGGTTTGCTAATTACTGCACTTCTCCTGCTCCAGTCCTTTGCACTTGCAAACTGGCAAAACACAATGTCCTTGGACTTCCAGCAACAACTAAAAACATCAGTATGTTATCAGCATTCTTCTCCTAACAAATCCCACACTGAACCCAAAACACAGCTGTTCTAGCTAGTGAGAGGATAATTAACTGTATCCTAGTGAAACCAGCACACACTAGTACCCACTCCCTCCATGTATTTAAAATAATAGTCATAAGCATTGTATCAGTCAGTGGATGTCAAGCTCCGTTGGAGAGCAGAAGAATGCACAGAGAGTCCCAGGAAACTGCAGTATTGGTTGGCAGGTTGTGTGGAGAGAGGATGGGGAAGAGGGATTGTGTTTGCGTGACTGTGGGTGGGAAGTGAACAAAATGGATTTTTGCTTTATATGATTTTGCTGCTGTGCTACGATAGTTTTTATGGGCCATGTAAAATTCAGAAAAAAAGGGAAAGCTTAGGGAGCTTTGCATGTATGTTTATAAATCTCTCTTAGCTGGAATATATGACATGGGTTGTTGAAGGTTTTGGAGATAGAGAAGTAATATACAAATAGTTTTTGGCTTCCCCCCCCCCATAGAGTAACATCTGGAATTAATGATTTTGTTTAAAAAGTCATATTATTTTTTTGAGACTTGTATTTCCTCATAAGAATAATTCAGTCGCTGCCTGGATGACTTTGGAGGGAACTGGTGCTGTAGAAGTAATAAATAATTGGCTAAGTTTGATTATTTATTTTATTGAGCATGTATGTCTGAATACAGTTACACACTTGAAGGTTATTTAAACAGGTTTAATTTTACACTACTTGCTTGATTCTTTCATAAAAGATCTAAGCCCAGTGACTCTCTTTTTAAAGAATGAACCATTATCACAATTTACATGTTGGAAACATGGAGTTCAGATAAACAAGTGTTACTTGGTTCTGCTCTTCACTGAACAATTAACGGTTATGGTGTAGGGTGGTATTTGGGAATAACATCGTGAACGCCTCTTCCCTCGGTGTGATGAACCAGTGTTGCCAAAACCACGTGTGCATTTCGAGTGCTTTAGTCTCCACGGGCTAAATTGATATCTGGAGAGTGGTTTTGTCAGCTGCTTTTCTCTTCTCAAACTGCTGTGTCTCAGAAGCCTCTCACAGGGTTGCTGTGGATCTTTTATCAGATGATGCTCAGCATGTTGCTACAGAAGGAACATGCTTGGTGATGAGGAGCATTTGAAATTCCTCCTGGCTGAGGGTGCCCCTGTAAATCTTTACACAGTCTGCTGCGTTCCATTGTTGCAAGTCTGGAATAAACTTGCAGCTTCATTAGATTTGTGTGCCATAGAGAGCAGAGCATGGCCAAAAATATTTCCTTGTGTGGTAAACAAGAGTTTCGTAATGCTGGCAATTGAGACCAGATGTAAATACAGCCTCTTCCTCGGGCAAAAACTCACTCTGTAACCTGTGGTTCTGCACTGTTTTCTTCCAGTTTTTGCTCCTAACAATTATATGCGGTTTAGATTCCAGTCTTGAGCCTCATGAAAGTAGCAATGCTTGCTGCCTGCCATGGTCGCTTTCCTCTTTATTTTATTTTTTTAAAACTTTTTCTCTCTCCCCATTTTTCCTCCCTCCTTTTTACTTTGGCATTTTCCCGAGTGGAGAACCACAAAACCTGCACCCGGTGACAACAAAGAAACCTGGGTGGAGGCTCCTCTGGGTTACACAGTAGATGATGCAGGCTTCTTGTATAAACAGCTGTGAGAACTGCATCTCCCAAATGAACTGTTTAACTGGATTGCTTGGAAAGCCCACAGTAGAATGTGTTTAAAATGAACCACAGTGAACAAAAAGTGCACTTTTAAAAAAATTCAGATGCAAAGGATGCATTGCAGAATGCTTCCAAAATGCCACAGAGGAAAAGGACTTTATTTGATGTTTGCACTCCAGATGAGATGGACAGATTGACCAGTTGATCAGTTAATGTCCAGACCTACTTACAGTAAACTCCACGTGAGTTCACACGGCAGTTGTATTGCTTGGAAACAGTGCAAGTGTCAAAGCTTACAAAGAAGTGTTTGGGACGTGGGAAACAAGGAGCAGCAGATCCAGGGACAGAATAAACTTTCTCTGAAGTTTATAGATGAGTTTCTTTGACGCAGCAAACACTACAAAACTGTCCTTTTCAGAGGGAGTTGCAGACGTGTCAAAAGCATCTCCCGTGTTTCCAGGTGCAAAAAGACCAATCATGACAGCAATTTTTTGAAAATAATAAATTTGATCTGTCTGCCATCAGGTACCTTCCTACATAACATGACAGTTCAGCGGTTCTTTCCCTTGCGGTGAACTTTTAATACGAATCATAATACTTTGATTTAACCTGAAGTAACATGATGCAAATGCTGGCAGTGGGGACTACAGGGGAATTCGTGAGTTTGGGAGGCGACTTTGGTTCTTGTGGCTGTTCTTGTGCTGGCCGAGCAGCTGTGTTCTAGATGTTTTTGGAGACGGTGAGGTGTCGAATGCAAGCCTGTTGGCAGTGCTGAATGTAAGGACAGTAAGGTGCAAATGTGTCATGAAAAGGAGGAACGTGAAAAATCAGTTGGGGATTTTCATGGTCTGGTGAAATCTATTTTTGTTTTTGAATAGGTAACTGATATTTCCAAAAAGTCTGCCAATGAAAGTGAAGGTTGTTAGTAACTCCTCCTTTCAGAGGAGTTACTGACTCTGCCTTAGGCTTTTGGTAGCCCCCTCTGTTGTGTTACTTGAGTGTTTCCTGAGTTGCAGAAGCTGTATAATATCCACTGAATACATAGTACTGACTTTGGCAGTTCTGTCCCCGGTTAGAAATTTCATTATTGGGTTAGATGTTAACATGGTATTTCAGTTACTGTGACACACAGTGGAAATAATTGTACTTAAAACTAGTGAACTTTTCTTGTGCAAGAAAGAAGCCAAAGTGATTTTTAAGTTAGCAGTCTGTGCCCAAGTCATCTTGCACAGACGCTTTTCATTTATTAAATGAAAAGCCCAAGCCCTCTTCTGCTCCAGATGATTTAAATTGGCCACTGTGGTAGGGCATTACTTTCATTATTTTTAACCAGTTGAAGCTGAACCAATGCAAGTTTTTATCTGGCTAAGACCTTAGGTTAGAAGGTTGTTGGTTCCTATCACAGAGATTATTCTTTATTTCCTCTTAAAAGATAAGTCACAGAGTGAATTCTGAAGTTATGATATAAAATGTCTTGCAGTGTCTGTGTCCTGAGATGCAAGAGGTTCCCCATGGTCTGTGGCTTCCCACCGTGGAAATAGTGAAAAGCTTCTGTTATTGAATAGGGGCGTGGGTGAGAGAGAGAGCAAGAGTGCTTTGACATACTGCTGTTATACTGCTGACTAATGCTCTATTTAATTTAAAATTATCTCTATTGTGTTAAAAGTGTGACTCAAAAACTGAGGGAAGGTCTGATGTTATTTCCTTTGCTTCCAGCCTCAAGAAACAGCTTCAAGGTCTCATACCTTCAAAACCAAGTCTTTTAAGAAATCCAAAATTTGTGGAATCTGCAAACAAGTAATTGATAGCCAAGGCATTTCCTGCAGAGGTGAGTTACATATGATGTGCTGTTTACTTTCTTGCTGTGTAAAGGAAATTAATTTTATATTAATGTTAAAGTTTTTATGAATCCATGTTTCTGGAATTCTCCCTGGACTAAGTATAAATTATACCTCAGTTTTCCTTCCTTTGGACACTGCTATTCCCTGCTTTTGTCAGGGACTGGGATGCTGTAGTAGGTAACTGGTGCAGACTTTGAGATGAACAGCTAAATATGAAATACTTCACTTGTTCGGTATCACACACATAACTACCACTCCTATGATGATAGCGGTATTTCTTTAACGTATTTCTTCTGTCTGTCCTTCCAGAGTTCTTAGAATTTAGTTCTTTTCAACCTAGCAGAAATACTGTTGGAAGGAAGCCTGCTTAGTGAAGGACCTACCTGAAGATCCTCTTGATCAGGTTCAGTGTCAAAAGTCCAACCCCCTGCAGTGACAGAGACATCTGCAACCAGACCAGGTTGCTCAGAACCCCGTCCAACTTGACCCTGAATGTTTCCAGGGATGGGGCTTTTACCACCTCTCTGGGCACCCTGGGCCAGTGTCTCACCACCCTCAGTGTAAAGAATTTCTTCCTGACATCCAGTCTAAATCTCCCCTCTTATAGTTTAAATCCATCACCCCTTGTCCTATCGCTGCAGGTCCTGCTAAAAAGTCTGTCCTCATCTTTCTTATGGGCCTCCTTTAAGTATTGAAAGGTGCAATAAGGTCTCCCTGGAGCCTTCTCTTCTCCAGGCTGAACAGTCCCTGTCCTCACAGCAGAGCTTCTCTGCTGCGGGGACGCTGGGTTGGTTGTTCAGTTACCTGTGGGATGGGAGCAGCAGGAGCCGCATGGAGTGAAGCGATGACTCCCAAGGAGTTTCAGCTTAATAAGAACCCGTTTGTATTTTAACTTACAGCATGGGCTTTATAGAGCAGAGTTTTGGAAAAGAGAGAACTGAAAGTTGTCTGTTCCCTTGCCAGCACTGTAGTACTTGAAATGTACCCTAGTACTGTGAAACTCTATTAATATGAAGGAAAATAAACCAACTGTTTCAGAGCCAAATCCTGGTGCTGCTGCTTCTGGTAAATTCTCCCTGATGTTGCTAAATTAAAGTGAGCAAGTTGGCTTTAGGGGGAGGGGAGAGAGAAGAAAAGCCTTTAGTTAAGAAGAAATAAAGTTCCTTTGTGTCTTAAAGAGAAAATCTTGCTTTATAACAGTTTATCCTCAGAAAATAATGGCTCTTTGTACAGACTGTAGGTTCCTTCCAGACTATAATATCTTATCAGTTACAGGAAAGTTACATGTCAGGAGAAATGAAGTCCCTAGGTGGTGTTTGCTGTTTATCTAGCCATGAATCACCTACTGCTTATAAGGAAAAACAAACCAAAAGCAGCCATACCTGGGTGTTGTGTTGGTGAGGCAGGTTTTCAGTAGGACGTGGCAGTCCTTTGGGGCTGTGGTGTTCAGCCCAGACTTGCAAAACGTGTCCTTTGCTTGTAGCCAGCTCTGAATGCAGTGCCCAAAGCTTTCTGTGGGAAATGAAGGACTGACCAAAAGGTGTGCTTGAGTGACGTCCCTTGGTCCCTGTGTGCTTCATTCCCCCTCAGTAACGCAGGCTCAGTGACAGTGAAGATATTTTTTAACATGCCTCCACAAAAACGGCGGCACAGGGGGAAAGGCAGAGTGGAAGAAGCGGGAGCTCCTGGCTGTCTCCTGCCTGGGAAGCAGGTTTGTGGCTGGGCTGTGTCTCTGGTGCAGCTTCTCCTTACGAAGAGGGGACAAACAGCTGTCAGTTGGTTCTGTAGTACCTGCATATACATCCCATTCGTGCGTATTTACGTAGTTAGCCAAAGGCCTGCACTGCCACAAAAGCCTTTTCATTTTTTTTTTGAAGCTACTTCCCGTAGATATTCAGTATTTTATTTTATTTGCAAACAAGGTAATTTCTATGTATTTTCCATGAACTAGATTTTGAACTGACAGCAATTAATGGTAGTTTGAACAAACTGAATATTTTTGTTAATCTAACCTAGCCATGGATGTGTTGGTTTTGGGAAGATGTGTTGGAGGGGTCCCAGTAGGAGCACTTGTAGAATTGTAGTTCCTCTTTTTTTTGTTGTTGTTTTTGTTTTGTTTTTCCCAAAAGCTTTTCTTTGATGGTTTGACTGGATGTGAGTTTTGTTTTCTTCCTGATATTTTGAACTGTGTATAAATGCTAGCCGAAGCAATGTTAAATTACATTGCCATGTACTGTTAGCTATGCTGGGAGCAGAGCGATCCTTACCGTGGTGTTGTGTGCAAACTGGGCGTGATAAAGAACGCAGTTCACTTTCTTTCCTTAAAATCCGTCTGTATGATAACTTTTGTCTGGTGAGTCATGTTATCGTAGGGCTGACAGTGAGTAAGTCTTGGACTGTTCCCTTGAGCATGTAGCATGAAGTGATGGCAGAAAGTATGTTTTCTCATAAAAATGCAGTATCTGTGTTTAATCAAGAGCTTCCAGATGCTTCCAGATCATAGATCGGGATTTGAAGACAATTGGAGCTGTTTTTCTTCTTAAAGAGGCTTAATACCTTCCTTTGAAATCCACCTGCTTGTTTGCGATTGTGCTTGTGACCGTGGCTACTGATCCACTTAAAAATTGCATTTTGGGTTCCTTGGAGTTACCGATTCAAATTGTTCTCTGTATTGAATCATGGTCATTGCTCCTGGCAAGACAAAAGACATTTTTATTTTGAGACTCATTTAGCTCTGACAAACTGTTCTTGAGGCTTGTTTGTGCATGCTGTGTGTGTAAATATATGGATCTTTAATCTTACGTGTTAGCAGGTGGTTTTATATACCCTGTGTTTCAGTAAGTGCTGAGTGCAGTGATAACATATTAGTATCTTAATAATGTGCAAAGCATGTCTGTGGTTACAGTCCTGGCAGACAAACTAGAAGGCTGGAAATGCAGGAGGAATGTGTGTCCTGCTGGGGCCAGTGGCGTTAGTCGGCTCTCAGTGGCGAGGCGCGTAGGGTGTATCTGTGGGGAAGGGGTGTCGTGTCGCCCCGAGTGCCGTGGAGTGATCCTTGTGAAACAAGATCCTGTGTGACTCGGCGCTTGCGTGGGTGGATGGTGAGATCTGTCCATCTGTCGCTCTTATCATACATTATATATAATATATATTAACTGTAATTTCAATGTAACTGTAGCATAACCATCTTATGGCTAATTATGGCAATAGACATTGGTTAATTAACTATAAAATGGTTAATTATGACAATAGGCATACCCATATAATTATGTTAGTATTATAATGCATGAACTCTTTGAGAGAATGGAAAACTTGTTGTCAGATTGAAAGGGGTTTTTGTCATACCACTCTTGCTTTCTGCATGGTATTTTTACGTACACTGTCGTGTTTTCCTGAGCACTGATCCAGCAAATTGTGTTGCCTTCTGTGGGACTGTTTCAAGATGGTAACTGCTTCAGTTAATGCTTTTAAGATTGTTAATGATGGATCTCTTGTATGTATGGCTCAGGCTCGTCAAGAAACAACAGGAAACAGACTGGAAAACCTTCCTCTTTTCCTAACCAATTAACTGCTAATTACCTCCAAATTTAAAAGGCATAGGGACTTTTGAGAAAATGAGACCTAGAATTTCTTTTTGCTAGCACCATCTGTTTTCAATTGTGACCAATATTTGATGATGGGACAGACAGACAGCAGCACATAAACTAGGATATGCAGGCTCTAGGACCAAGGAGTGTGGTCTGTTGTTGTCCCTGGAGCAGCTGAATGGCGTGTAGCTGTTGTGAACCCCAAGGAAAAAGGATTATGGAATGGCCAAGCAAGGTTGGGTTAGGTAGGGACCCAGGCCCTCGCTGTAAAACCTCATTTGACTGCCAGCTGTGTTGTGAACAGCATCTGGGAGGATGTCCAAGGGAGACTGTGTGAGTTGGTCTCGCAGCAGCAGGGAAGTCTTTTTAGGAACCCCTCAGAAATGGATGGATGTTGTCCTGGACAGGACTGATGCAGAGTGTACTATTCTGGGGAGGAGGAGGCTGGAAGGAGAACTGTGGACTGCAGCCTGTCTGTGACACCAGAAGCCTGGGAAGGTCAGCCCCTCTTCCTGAGACAAAAGGTGCACCCAGTAAATAACCACCAGATTAGTGAGATGTGCTCTAATTAACACAGCTGTACAAGCTCTCCGTTCGTATTTCAGTGCAGAGCTTCGATAGCAAAACATGGAAGCTGTGTGCATAACAACAGCAAAGAGCTGAAAAGGAAGGGTGAACACAGACTTACTGGAGGGAGCAGAGATGCAGAGGAAGCCACTGTAATTAGTAGGCATTAGCCAAGTGGTAGATGAGCATCCTGCGTGAACACAGCCCTCTGGAGCTGAGGGAGGATCCTCTGGTGGCATGTTGGTACCCCAGTGGGAACTGGAGAGAGGGGAGGAATTTTGGCAGAAATCTCTTAAGGTAAGTTCCTAGTAATTTTAAAAAATGAAGAATACACAAGGCAGAAACCTCTAGTGGAATGTTTAATGTTCATAGCAGCCAAGCTGCATCTCAAATACTGATGTTGTTTCAGAAAGTTGTCTGTAATGAGTTCCCTATTTATTTACCTCATAAGGACTGACTTAATCATGCCAGAATTTGATCTGTGGTTATAAAATTTTTTTAAAAGTTCAGACCACTAGTTTTTAAAGGTTTTTAAAAAGCTTCAGCTTCTGTTTCTTAACAGCTGATAAATTAAAAAGAGGAAAAAAAAAAAAAATAGTGGGAAGTAAATGTGATCCCATGTGCCCCCCCCAGCATTTTTTCCAGGAAAACCAATCACCGCTATGTGATCTGGTATACCTGCAATTTTATAAACTTAGCCCACTTGAAGAGAACCCAAAATTCCTAAGGGTAAATTGAAGTTAGAATTCTCTGCTCTAACTCAAAAATCTGAACTGAAATGACATCATTAGAGTGTATAATTTGTGTGTTGAACTTGATATGCCATGGAGAAA